CCAATTTTTGGTGATGTTTTCATTCTATCATTTTTATTATTGTTTTAATTTCATTATGCTAGGCTAGACTTTTCATGTACTAGGTGAACGATGAACCTCGCATTGTGAACTCTTTAATTCTATTTTGCAATTTGATAATTAAACACTTTGATGATTTTGAATGATTTACATACGCTTATTGTCTCCGTGATTATAGTCGACGATAATTGTGTGAGTTTAGGTGATTTATTTCATGCATTCGAAAGAAGGGAAATAAATTCAACAAGGTGTAAATCGTCGTTTTGTTCATAAAGGATAGAAATATACCGATATGCATTACGTGAATCTCTAAGTGTTTACAAAACTTCATGCATTCTTATATATTGCATTTGTCATAGAAATATAGTCAAATGGTATACTAGGATAGGTTCAATTCTACTCGAAAGAGATTGTTGGATAGGTTAGAAACATTGATTCTTCAAACGATTCATCGTGTTGTCAAATTGTGAAATAGGGGTTAAGAGTGAACTTTGCTTGGTGATTCGGGATCCTAGTGCGCTTTTCCATATATTAATTTTCTCAAACTTTGCATTCAACCATTGTTTTACAATTACATCGCAATTCTAGTTTAATTTGCATTTTATTTACAATTTCATATTAAAATCACAAAAACTACCCATTTGAGTTTTATAGTTTCGGTTAAGGTTACGATAATAGAAATTAGGTTAGATCAATCCTCGTAAGAACGATACTCGAAATTTTACAATTTCCACTTTATTACTTGTCAACGAACCGTACACTTGCGGTGATTTAAATTCGAAACATATTTTCGTGAACAAGTACTAGTGACCAAAATGCCAGAATAAATGGTATCGCCCAAAGGTAGAAGATTTACAAGGGCTCCAACATCCCTCAGGGTAATAGATATTAGGCCAAGGGGAAAAACATTTCTGAAGACCAAAAACTTAATGCAGTTAGAAAAAGCAACGGGTCATAGATTGGGGGATGGAGTGCAATTTCTAGTAAGTTCGAAATCCTAACACGATCAAAAATCACTTTGGTGGGGCCATGTTTTACCAAACGTGCATGCCAAAAACGAAAAGTAGAATCAGATTTAGACCAAGTACAAATACCTCGTTCCCGGATTGGTTTTAAAGGAAACAAATTCAAAAAGGGAGGATCTTGAGTACAAGAAAATAACTGACCCATCCCCACTTTTCCGATAGATTCAACGTTTTTAAATGATGGACCCAAATAGAATTCATTGAGGTCTGGGTTACTTAATGAGAGAAAAGTTGAGTTTATATATGGCCTGACAAGGAGGGTTTGGAAATCTTCGAAACTAAGTATGTTATCAGAAGGGGTTTGTGGAGTCGCCATTTACAACAAAATATAGTCTTGGTAAAGATTCTTGAGGGGCGTAGTGAAGAAGCAAGACGATGAACAGTAACTCTTTTAGAACGCATGGTGTGAAGACGTGAAGATAATAGCGCAATAAAGTTGCGTGTCTTTGAGGTTTATAGGAGTTTATAACGTTGCATCTTTTTAGATTATAGAAGGGTTACAACCAAACGGAAATAATAATTGAAATTTTTGGAAATTTCAAATATTGCCGAAAAATATAAAGAAAGAATATGACAAAGATTAATAGTTGATATTAATTCTACCATATTGTGGGGTAATTATTGACATACAAAAAGTGTAGCCCAAATTGAATGGTCCAAGGGCCGAAGCCCAATTAGGAAATCCAGTATGAAGGCCCATAAGACCATTAATGAATGCAGTGGAGGCCCACGAACAAGGCACCATCATCATCCAAACTTGCAAGACGCCTAGGATCTGAGCGAATGGAGTGCCTTAAGATCGCTCAGAGTGAATGAGCTCGTTCTCGCCCAAACCTTCGAATCGCCCAAGATCTTAGCAAACACGAAGTATTATGGTTATCCAGAACAGCAGTTATTGAGTAACCTTATCACATCCTACAATCTAAGAATCACGGTTGTAGGTAGTTAAACGACAAGAGAAATGGCAACAGTTAGATACGGCAGTTCTACGATAAATCGACCATCATGAAAAAAAATGGGTAGTTATATAGTATCAAACAGTTTCTTCACAAAGAAATCATCAAGGAAATATAAAAGGAAACGAAGACATAGAGAATAAAGATTTCGAATCAAACACTCTCAAAAGAGAATATGTAATTTCAATTTATTAGTTTAATTTTAAAACATTTTTTTTAGTACTCGTATGCTTGTGCTCCTTGAAGGCATTCTATTTATTTCCGATTGTAAATATTCGTCAATAAAGTACCTCTTTTGGGACTTTGTCTCAAGAGGTCTATTCCTTATACAATCGTCTGAACATTTTTTAATTGTTAGCGACAATCCGCGCAAATCAATTTTACTACTTTTTTTCTTACCTAAATCTGGTCAAAGGTCATCAGTGTGGAAAGTGGCTGGGTCAATCAGCCATCTACCACCGTTTCCTCGGTCATCTTTTCGGTACTCGTCCTTGAACTGAGATCACGGCCATCAGAGCCCGGTTTCTGTACTCCACCGCCCAAGTAGTTCGATGGGGTCGAGCTTGAGAAGTAGACATATTACTGGAGATTTGAGAATTTCAGGGATATAAATTCAATGCGGTCAGGGACTGGAGGATTGTTCAATGGATTTGTCAGGCACGCCATTGGTTCATGTGTTGACAATGATTCTTCAGCGGGTTTTCAAGTGAACGGTTTCAACCCATCCTCTTCATCGGCTGTGTTCGGTGATGAGCTCAAGTTTAACATGTAAGATAATTTCATGGAGAAGTTGGAAATGCCCCCTTATGCAAGAGACTTGCTTTCAGAAGCGAAATCTAGGCATTTAATTTTCCAGGATGATCTTATCATCAAGGCTTTTTATGAAGCTGAAATAGCCCATAGAGGCCAGGTACTTTACAATTACCTATCCAATGTTTGGCTTTTCGCTAGGAAACTGATATATTTATTAAAATTGGGATTGTGGCTGTGTTGATTTTGTAAATGCGGGCAAGTGGGCATCCTTATTTGCAACACTGTGTGGAGACTGCAGTTTTTCTGGCAACGATTGGGGCTAATGCTATAGTTGTTGCTGCAGGGCTTTTGCATGACACTGTTGACGATTCTTCCGTGTCTTATGACTATATTTTCAAGAATTTTGGAGCTGGGGTAATTGATTCCATCGGTTTTTATGCTGTTTTTCAGATTGGTTTTGGTATGTAATATATCTTACGCCAGTTCAATGAAATTCCATATAAGCTAATGATATGAGGATATGTTCTTTAAATCTTTGTGACCTTTAATCGTATAGTTTAGATGTTAATGGTTTGTTTGCCATTGTAAACTCAAGATGTTAAACACCATTTCTTTTTTGGTGGGGGTAGGGAAGGAGGTATTGCAATTCTTGCTTTATTTGCTGATAGGTGGCTGGGTTTTCATACAGTCAATGAAAGGGATGCTGTCATAAAAATGATACATTGATGAAGAGATGTTCATAATGACAGTGATCTCAATATTGATAGGGATCATAACTGTAACATAGGATGTTAAAACTTTATGTGATTATATGAGGGGCCCTGGCTTGTTGATAAGTCTGTAGGGACTTTTTCAATTTCTGTGGAATACTTTTCTTTGCAACTCTAATTGATAAGCTGATTTGCATAAATGTAGAATACATATTGAGTTTCTTCCAGGTGTCTAAATTGAGCCATTTGACCAAGCTTGCATGCGAGAATAACACAGCCAGTAGAACTGTTTAGGCAAACCAATTACATACCATGTTCCTCGCAATGGCAGATGCTAGGGCTGTTCTCATAAAACTAGTGGATCGATTGCACAACATGATGACTTTGGATGCATTACCTATAATCAAGCAACAGAGATTTGCAAAGGAAACGTTAGAAATATTTGCTCCACTAGCGAACCCATTAGGGATCTCTTTTTGGAAAGAGCAACTTGAAGATCTCTGTTTTTGGTATCTCAATCCAGATCAGCACCAAGAATTGTCATCCAAACTTGTAAAGTCCGTTGATGAGGCTATGATTTCTTCTGCAGTAGATAAACTAGAGCAAGCTCTGAAGGTTGATGCCATTTCTTATCGCTCTCTGTCTGTATGCCATAAGAGCTTGTATAGCATCTATTCCAAGATGTTGAAGTATGCTCTCTTTCTCTCATACACAGTTACACACCCACACAGATTGAGATAGCTTACAAAAAGAAACAATTTAGTATCTTCTCATGCAATTTTTTGACCCTCAATTGGTATATTTTATATTTTTTCAAAGTCTGGTAAAACACATATCTGGTTGTGCTGACTTTGGGGTTGATTATTTGTATGGATAACTTAACACTGGCCACAATTCCCGTAATAGTTGGATTGAACCCTGATAAAGTATGGATATTGTCATGCGGTAAAAATATTTCTGGCAAAATATGATGTTTCACTGTGTTTTTGTTGCACTGGAAGTCTGCAATGTATAATTTGTAACATATTATCAAGTCAATTACATTGCTTTCCTGTTCCAAAAACAGACCATACTAATCTACCTCATGCGGTGGTGTAATTTTATCTTCTGCATAAAGAAGCTGAATATGGATGAAATTCATAATATCTATGGTTTGAGATTGATTGTTGAAACCAAGGCAGACTGTTATAAGGCTTTGAGAATTGTATACCAGCTATGGGGTGAAATACCTGGGAGGTTCAAGGATTACATAGTTTATCCCAAGTTTAATGGGTATGCTGTTTCTAAAAGTGACGATGTTTTATTCTACATATCATTTGTTATTATACTTAATTCAAACTCTAAAATTTCAGGTACCTATCTCTTCATACATTAGTGATAGGTGAGGGTATGGATTTGCAGCTCATTGGAGATGCAAGGAGTGTGATTGTGAACATTCTTCTTTCGTGCTTCAGATGGTTGAATGGGCACGTTGGGTCGTCACCTGGCAGTGTGAGGCTATGAGCAAAGACAAGTCATCCATTAGCTTTTATGACTCCATGAAGCTGCCTTGCACATTCCCTACTCATTCTGTGGATTGCCCATTTTCTTGCAAACCACATTGTGTCTCAAATGGACCTGTTTTTGTTATTGTGATTGAGAATGATAAGGTTTGTTCTTCAGAAATTTAGCCTCCATTTGGATATATTATAAATGGTTTATCCGTGTTGCATGGACACTTCAAGTAGGATGGCGTGTCCGTGTCGATACGTGTCAAATACCAACGCTCCTCGAACACTCTGTCATGGTCATATTTAAAATATTTCAAGAAAAAATAAAAGTATAAAACTAAATGTATACTATATAAATGAATAATTTTAAAGAATTTAATCAATATGTTAACATGTTGTGTCAATACTTTTTTGAAAAATCGTGTGTCGAAGACACATGTCTGCGTTAGTGCATCATAGTGATTTATAAATAGAATGTATGGTCAAAAAGTAGTGGCTTCATTGAAGTGTGTAGTTGAAAATGATGTTTGACCAAGGGTTTTTAGTGTTCAAGGGGTCTTATTCTTATCCCACCTTCACATTAGTTTTGTTCGGAACTCGAGTGCATCATAGTTATAAGTACAGAATCTTTCTTTGAGTTCCAGGGAATTTGTGTCCTTTGGGAATTAGTCTTTAAATTCAAGCATTTGTTCAATGGATTTGTAATGCTTGATATGATGAGTGATCTGGTGTTTTGATCTTGCAGATGTTTGTGCAGGAGCTCCCAGCAAATTCATCTGTTATAAATCTGTTGGAAAGAACAGGTCGAGGTAGTTATAGATGGACTCCCTATGGATTCCCTATGAAGGAAGAGTTGAGGCCACGGCTGAACCATGAGCCAGTTAGCGATCCCACCTGCAAGCTAAAAATGGGGGATGTAGTGGAATTAACTCCAGCCATCCCAGACAATTCACTGATAGAATATCGGGAGGAGATTCAACCTATGTATGATAGGGGTCTTACCATATCAAAGCATGGTGCCTGCTGCCAATACCATGGCTGGGTTAAGAAGTTGACCCCTTGGCTGCTCCAATTGTATTATGCCATTGATAAACGACTAGTTATTCTGTATATAAACGACAACCCTTTGTACAGAACAGCTTATTGCTTATGTTTATGAGGATAAATGATCATCTGGAATTAAGGGGATTTTCATTAAACGAATTTAGCAATTGCATTAAGCTGAAGTTCTAAGTCAATGTTCAATCAGGAACAATTTCCAACTCTCTTCCTTAGTGAGTGAATCGCAGGGCGTTGATTCCCACCAATTTTATTCATATAAAATAAGCTAAATTGTCTCTCTACTTAATGGGGGATTTGGCTGGCTAAGGTAATGTTGCAAACTTCTGATAGGAACATAACGAGTAGAATGTATGGTCCTCTACACATCCAAACAGTATGAATTCACACGCCACCTTGACTCGACAATTGACATGAAATATTTGTTAGAAGACTAGTGCTTGGTGCTGTTAAGAACATAATGAGCTTAGCCCCCGTTTGACACCCATTTTTTTCTCATTCTATTTCTCTTCTTCATTTCAACTACACATTATATTAATAAAATAATATTACACATAAATCCAAAAATTCTCCATACTTTTTAACTACGCAATCTTCCATCAATCACTATTCCAAAAATTATTTTTCAAACAAAATGGGTGACAAATAAGGGCGGTCCTCTACACATATGCTGGATAAATTCACACCCCACCTTGACTCGAAAATTGATATGTAATATTTGTTAAATTTACATTGCATTTCTATAAGACTAGTGCTTAGTGCATGCTACTCGGTGTTTGGATAGGAACACCAATTGAAACCAAAAGCTACATTTTAAGTTTGTAATATTAGCAAATGGTGAAAATGAACTAGTCTAATCCTACCATGTAGCAGGAGAAAAATGAACAAGGTCACTCCGACTGCATAGAAGATGACTATAAGTAATCCATTCATGAAGTACATCGAAACTACATTGGAGCAATGCTGCCATCACACAATTCCTAAAGCCCAACTATGAACATACAGAGTAGATTATGTCCTCTGGTAGTATCTAACTACTAAATACTGTCTCTAACCTCCATTGTACAAGCTGCTTTTTGCGAACACACAGACGCAGAGGGAGAAAGAGAAGCTCTTAGACATCACTAATAGCAAGGTAGCTCAATTTCAAATAAGAATATCGTATCAAGTGCAAAAATACATTTTAAGTCAACTAGAGGAATGCATACATGAAAGTACTTCTGGTAGGGAGATCATTGCTGAGATCTCATTCTAGTGACATGATGTACACAACAAACTTATCTTGAACGTTTAGCTCCAAGTGGAAAAGATACTCGCTGTGGGGTGCCTTGGGGCAAATCTCTGCGGTCTTGGGAAACACTGGGATTAGGATTAGGAGTAGGAGTAGTATCAACACCTTCGTCATCATCCTCTGTTTCTTCAATTGGCTGGCTTTGCTTCTTTGGAATAGCAAGTTGGTAATTTGGACTGATCAAGGTGTCCTGTTCTGGAGGAAGGGGAATTCCAGGCCCTGCTATTGATTTTGGCAATGGGTTTTTATTTCTAGTCCTTGCCAACTCGAGTAGCACCTGATGAGTGAGTAGTGGATTTGAAAGTTTTATTGATGATTCAACAATTGAAATCTGTTTCATGCATTTAAATATGAAAACAGATGTATGTCCCATGAAGCTTTCCACCAAAAATAGCATGATGAAAAATGATAAAAATCATAATACCAAAGCATTTAAAAACTTCCTAAATTTCGTCAGAAGATATACCCAATGCTATTAAAGCTTCATGGGAGAAAAAACCAAATGCCATCAGGAGGTGTTAGATCCTGGAGAGGAGTGTAAAGGCAAAATACATTTCTTTAACTTGTATAGAACGCGATCCTAGTGATGAGATATAGGATGGAACTCCTGTAATCAAATCAGTACAATCTAGACTTGAAATGATCCTTCCAAATATTGTTACATATTTAAACCTAACATATTATTCAAATAGTACATGCAGTTGTTAAAAAATAGATGACGTCATATTGTAAAATCCAGGATAAAGAGAAGAATTAACACATCGTTGAAAAGGTATAGTAAGAGTACCTCTCGAGGTGGAGGTTGCGAGAAACTAAAATTGACTTTTGACTGAATTGCGAGCTTAATATCATCGGAGTCAATAGTAGACTTCCCAGCATGTTCCGAGTAGACCCGTGCATCTGTCAGAATGTCAACAACATATCGATACCACAGTTCTAAAAACTGATGCACAACACGAGGCTCATAGTCATCAACATTCATGGATTTAAGCAGCATCTTTACAACTTTTGCATCCCTTGGTATGTCCTCATCTCCTCCCTCTGCCATCTCCTCCACACTTGATCCCCTACTGAAACAAATTTCCCAACAAAATTTCTCTTTTGGACGAAAAGTTATGAGAGAATTTAGAATGGTGGTAAGACAGAATTCTAATCAAGCAGTATGATCCAATAATGCAATGTCTATCACCAAAGAGAGAGAGAGAGAAAATAATACAGGTGAAACACAAGCAGCACTAAATTCTCCTTTTTAACCAACATAATCATCCAAAGAAATGGAGATACTAAATATCAAAATTGTTTTAACAAGCGTGTCTCAAAAGATTATAATGGAGAACTAATGGTTCAATTCATGAGTTGATAAGTGAATATTTAGACAATTAAATTGTTTCAATTATTTGTTTAT